GCACACACCCTGGGTGTTAGGATCATCGTGGGTGCTTTTCCTCATAGGATTTACTGAATTATTGTTTCCCAGAATTCCCTGGGAGAAGCCCTGACATCTGTATTTGCAGTGTGTCACTCAGATGGACATTAATGGAGTCCCAAGGACCTGCATTAACAGGCTGTGTTAAGTGGTAGTTAATCTCTCTGAGTTCGTTTATGAAAGGTCTAAGTTTCCATTCTAGCTGACATGAGTTATTACACATGAAAGCCACTAGCCCATTATTATAAAATTATTGCAGCTTTCCCCTCTCTGCTGATTTTGAAGAATTTCCAGCTAAATAATATCCTGTAGGGACTAATTTTCTGCCTTGCTTTGGTAAGTTCATATCTTCCCTTCGATTCAAGCAGCCTTTCTAAATCTGGAACTGTAACCATTAAATCAGTGGTCAAATTACTAGGGTTAAAAGAATTCATTTTCGCTTAAAAGAATGTGTACAAATGGAACAGTGACTTTTAGTGTACTTGTGAAGAGCATAAGTGTGGGAAGCCTCACAGGCTCTGTAGAGTGGTATAGAGCCGTCATGAACTCTTGTTGACCAAGAGAGCGCCAAGAGCGTGGCATCAATGTGTTGTGTGTGCATGCAGGAGAGCCAACTGGGAGTCAATTAGATCACAGTGAGGAAAGGAGGAGCACAGGGTCTGCCTTTGCTAGTTAATTACCTTGATAAAAATTAGAGTCACTCCAGGGAAGGGCATGTTGTGGGGCATTTTCTTGATTATTGATGGATGCGGGAGGGCTGGAACATGGCTACTTTATTCAAATACATTCTCACCAGCTTTTTGTTTTGTGGTTTCCTCCACTGTCTACGCTTGATTGTCCTGGAACTTGCTCTGTAGGTCAGACCGGCCTCAAATGCAGAGATGGAGCTGCCTCTGCCTTCTCTGAGTGCTGGGATTAACAGCATGCCCCACCAAGGTTTACTTTAATTTCTTTTCACAATTCCTTTTTACCATTTAGCATCAGGCTTTTCCTTAAACTTTTTCCTGGTTCTTCTCTTTCTCCTCAAACTATACATTTTGTATTTTTGCTTTCTCAGTCTGTTCCTCTTCATTATAGATCTGCGTAAGCATGGCCTCCAATAACCAAGCAACACAACCAATGCTAGGCTGTCTAGAAATCTTCTCTGCCAAAGCTGTTAATCCATAACTTTTCAATTTAGCCTTAGACAGACTTTTTTTTAACAAGAGCAGAAAGCAGCTACATCCTTTGACAAAATATCACAAGAGCAGTCTCTAGGTCACACACTAATATTCTCCTCTTCTGAAATCTCTTGAGCCAGGCTCCCACAGTCCAAATCAGCCTCAGTGCCACTGCCTTCCGTTCTCCTACTGGTTTAAAGCATTCAGCTGCTTCCCTAATCCAAAGTCCCAAACTCCACGTCCCTCTAAATGAAAGCTCAATTAGGCCCATCACAGCAATACTCCACTTCTGGTACCAACTTCTATCTGAGTTAGGGCTTCCTTTTCTTCTTTCTGTTTTTTTGAGACAGGGTTTCTCTGTGTAACAGCCCTAGCTGTCCTGAAACTCACTTTGTAGACCAGGATGGCCTTGAACTGCCTCTGCTTCCTGAGTACTGGGATTCAAGGTGTGTACCACCATGCCTGGCTTTAGTTAGGTTTTCTGTTTGATGTAAAGAGACACCGAAACTCTTATAAGGAGTTTAATTGGTGTTGGCTCACCAGTTCAGAGATTTAGTCCATTATCATCATAGCGGGTCATTGTCAGCATGGTGGTGTGTGGGCAGACATGGCGCTGGAGAAGAATCTGAGAGTTCTACATCTGGATCAGAAGGCAGCAGGAAGAGAGAGACATTGGGCCTGGCTTGAGCATTTGAAACCCCAAATCCCACCCCACCCCCCAGTGACACACTTCTTCCAACAAGCCATACCTACTCCAACAAGGCCACATATCAAATAATGCCACTCTTTATGAGCCTGTGGGGACCTTTATCATTGAAACCATCACATCTACCAAACTGAATTCTTAACTCCAAAGACTTTGGAAACTGTGATTTTTTTACTCCCGAGTCTATGATAGGAGCCTGCCTTCGGGAGAAACTGACTGGTATCAAACTGCTTCTGTCACTGGAACATGCAAACTACATTCTACAGGGGTCCTGTGGTGGGGAGGGGAGAAGGCTGGCGTAAGGCACGAATGACCGTGACCCTCAGCTGCCCTTGAGAACGCATGACAGAGGTAGCTGAGGTCTCAGTGCCCACACAGATCACCTGGGAGTCCCTATATTTGCCACGAGCTGCCAGGCAACTTTCACGCTCATGCATGATTCATGCTCTGAACAGCAAGCTCTTAGGGGTGGGGGCAGACTCCTGAGAGGTTAAAAGAAGCAGCTGTGAGTGGGCATGGTGGCTCATACTTGCAAATCCCAGTGCTCAGGAGGCTGAAGTAGGAAGTTTAAGTAGCTACACAGTGATCCAGAAATAAAGTCATAAAAATGTGCTTGCAGAATAATCCAGCATTCACTGGATTTTCACTATGTGCAGGCCATTGGGCTGGCCTCTGGGAGTAAAAACAAACAAAAAATCCAAAAAGACAAATAAGATCCAAGACAAACGCTGCAGAGAGCACACACTCGGAGTGTTAGGATCCTGGAGAGCACACACTCGGAGTGTTAGGATCCTGGAGAGCGCACACTCGGAGTGTTAGGATCCTGGTATCATATTTTAAACTGGTCCTATGTGGGATTTCAAGCCTGGCCTAGCATACAGAGTTAGGTCTTATCCCAAAGAAGATGAAGTGTTTGGAAAAGGATGTCAGCATGATTAGAGCCATTTGGCCCTCCTGCACGTGAGTTCTTCTATTAGAAAAGTGAGCACCATATCTATCATAGTGGGGCTGCTGGGAGAACTGAATTCGTAATGCTATGAGAATTCATGAGCGTGCCCAGTACACAGTTATCACTGAGTTGAGTTGTGGAAACACACACACCATACTCTGTGTTGGTCCCCGATGGGAAAAGGTGCACCCCAGGACTCAGCCTTGATCCTGGAGGCCATAGACTGTCTGTGGTTCCAGAGATTCCGTCCTTCATACGACATTGGATTTATTACATTCATAGTATCTGGCATATAAGGTCAGTGTCTGTGGAAGTTGTTTCAGTAGCAAAGTTATTACTGCTGACGAGTGAATGTTTTGGGTTCAAAGACAGAGAGATCCATGGACCAAACCAACATGAGAGGGGTCTTCCACCCAAGGACAGGACTTGGAGACTGCCAGACCTGAAAAAGACTGAATAGCAAAAGCAGAGTTTGGAGTGAGGACACAGCAGCACATTGACAACCCTTTTCCAGTCAGTGGTCACAGCGTTTTCTAATTTCATAAATCGTATGTGACTTTTTCTTCCTTGGATATAAACCATAGATGGACGTTTTGGCCTAGCTTGTCCTGGGCCGGTAGCCGACATTAAGAATTCAGCTTGTAGCTCACGGACTCTGGACTGACAGCAAGAGAGACTGCACAGGACCAGCCTAGGCCTTCTGCATGTGGGTCATAGGGGTGTAGCTTGGTTTGTTGTGGTAGTGCCTGAGCTGGCTTATGGGAACCTACTCTTCCCCATGTTGGGATGCCTTGCCCAGCTTGATGAAGGAGGAGGAGCTTGGTCCTTTTCAACTTTGATATGCCATGCTTTATTGACTCCTATGGGAGACCTGCCCCTTTCTGAATGGAGGTGGAATGGATGGGGCCAGGGTAGGTGGGAGATGGGGAGAGGGAACTGGAGGAAAGGAGGGAGGGGAAACTGGTTGGCATGTAAAATAAATGAAAAAAATTTAATTAGAAAAATCTCAAAGATTCTTTTTTTTTTTAATTTTTGAGACAGGGTTTCTCTGTAGTTTTTGGTGCCTGTACTGGAACTAGCTCTTGTAGCCCAAACTGGCCTCAAACTCACAGAGATCCGCCTGCCTGTGCCTCCCAAGTGCTGGGATTAAAGGCATGCGCCACCACCGCCTGGCCAATAATAAAGATTCTATGCTAAGATCCTCAAAAAAAAAAAAAAAAAAAAGAATTCAGCTTGTGAAACTCAGTAGTTAAATAAAGTAGTTGCTCTTACAGAGGATCTGAGTCCCCAGCACCCATGTTAGATGGCTCGTAACACCTGTAATAACATCTGTGGGACATCCAGTGCCCTCTTCTGGGCTTTGTAGGTAACTGCACATGGGGTCTACACACAGACACACATTTATAAGCATAAAAAATTCTTTACAAAGGATTTCAGATGGTGGTGCTGTTAGAAATGGCACGGACCATCTTCACATTCTACCCAGTTCCAAGCCGACAGGTGACATCCCCAGGTGCTGACCTGAGGTCAGTGTTTCTTGTTAACAGACACCCAAACCCTTCAGTAGAACTCCCCACACCGCAGAGCAAGTGTGCTCATTCCTTCCTCTTCCTGTCACTCAGGCCGAATCCCTGACAAACAAGAATGTAAGAGAGGAAGAGATTCTTTAGGCTCCTAGTTGTAACAGGTCTATAGCCCATCTTGGTGGGGGAGGGCGCAGCCTTCGGAATGTGAGGTGGCATTGTGTTCACGGTCAAGGAGCAGTAAAATAGTTAGGAAAACCTCAAGGCCTGCCCCCAGTGATCTACATTCCCCACTCCCATCCTCCAAGTTAGGCTCTAAGACCCAAATGTTCATAACCTTCCATAACAGCGTCTGCCACCAGCTGGGGACCAAGTGTTGTTGAGAGGCATGAGCCAGCAGAGGCATACCACATCCAAACCACATCAGCAGGGAGCCGGAGTCTTCGCATTGCCTTCTAGTGAGAATTCAGACACCAGAGGACACTGTTAGACCTCAGCACAGTCTGGCATAACACGTACGCACCGATCCAGCCAAATTCAGAGCTAGCCACCTAGTCTTGGCTAAAAGAAATGAAAATCTGAAGCCTAAGCAAAGGACCGGAGAGAGCGCTAATGGGAGCTGTTCTCCCTGTCGCCTGCAGGTCCCAGGAGAAGACAGAAGAAGCCATCCTGCTGCTGAAGGAGTCCATCAAGTATGGTCCGGATTTCGCCGATGCCTACTCCAGCCTGGCTTCCCTCCTGGCTGAGCAGGTAACTGTTCCCATTTAACTTCACAAGCGTTTCTCCAATTGGTACTGTCAAGCGCATCTGCCAATATCACCACAGATTTTTATCGAAATAGCATAACCAACAATCAGTAGCTCCAGTCAAAGAGTGGCTCTTACGTCCGTCTCATGCTCGGTCGACTCCAGAAGCCGAGCTTTCTCTCGGCGTAGGGATCAGACTGAGCTCCCCGGTAGCAGTCACCTGGCCTACATAAAAGAAATGACTTGATCCCACACATCAGTTACTAAGGGTACAATTTGCATTTTAAACATTTCAAAAGTTCCAGCAAGCACCAAAATTAGAATAGTCTATGAATATTCAAGTGGCAAAAATTATAAACTTGGTTTCTGCGCTGTAATACAGCCGTTCCCTTCCTCAGACACAGAAGGAATCTGTGGCTCTGTGGGTCCCAGATATAAAATGACATTAGAGGTGGATAACTCTTGTGTACATTTTTTAATTATTCAACTTAGTACAGTATACACTAGCTATGCAAATAGCTCTTACACCATGTTGGTAAGGAGCCAAAGACAAGAAACCCCAGTACAGACACGATATTTTCTGAGTGTGTGCGTGCGCGCGTGCCCGGTTCAGAAGCGGCGATCCAGTGCCTTCCTATGTTGCCCTCTACCTTATTCCTTTAAGACAGGGTCTCTCGCTGCACCTGAAGTTTTCTCTTTTGGCTACGCTGGCTGGCCAGTGTACTCTGAGGATCTACCTGTTTTTACCGGAATCACTGGGGTTATAGACACTTGTGTCCATGTGTGCACTAGGGATTTACACTTAGGTCCCTGAGCTTATACAGCTAATTCTCTTACCCAGGAAGCCTTCTCCCTGTCCCTCTTCTGGGTGTTTGATCTCAGGTTTGTTGACTCTGCAGATAGAAGGGGTCCCTGTGTTCTCATCAGCACTGCCAGGCTGTAGACAGAAAGCCAGAGGGGCATATGACATACGCGTTCAGTCCTGGACAGCTTTCAGCTTTCATCAGTGAAGACACTGGAGGGTTTTCTAGAGAAAAGATTGCCTGCATCCCTCAGCATCGTGTCTTCTCACTTCACCCTGGCTCTTTCGTCTTTTAGAAACACACACCTTGCCTCTGCCTGTGACTGGCATGCCAAGCCCCCTCCCTGCGCTCAAACACCACGTCTCCAGCACAGATCCATTTCTACCCTCCTGCCATGCCGATTTCTGCCCACACAGTACCTCGAGGTCTTCTGTGATGACCCTCTGCCTACTCTCTGTCTTCCATCACCTTGTCCTGTATTTTCCACTCCTTCCAATGTTATATCATGTAACATACACAGCTTTATGCGTTAGTGGTCTCTCGCCCACCTCCAGAATATTCGACTCTGTAAGGACAATTATTCTGTCTATTACGGTTTTCTCACAGCTGCCAGGCTGCACACGGTCGGTAGATTCCAGATTGGTGAGTAAATAAATAGACTTGGAGAGTGTGCAGTGCCCACGCCAGAGCCTGTTCTGGGCTCGGGGTCACACTGCTTTCGCTGAATCATGCTTCGGTGGGATGATCCGCCCTGCGCTGAGGACTAGCCTGAGAAGCAGTCTTGGGGCACTCTTCGTAGTGACCCCAGATTGTCCGCCACGAGGCTGTGGCCATCATCCCTTGTTCCATTCAGTGTGTCTATAGGAGGCCCTGGGGGTGAGAGAGCCATGTTTCAGTGTTGGAAGGCCTATATACGTTTCTCCTAAATTACATTTAGTTTTTATTTTCTCTTTAATCCAGTGCATGCAGATTTTCTGTTTTCTGGAAAGGTCAATTGTGCCTCCACTTCCGTTTATCCACATTGACAGCCATCTGGACGGTGTTAGCTGCTTCTCTTCTGCGCTGTTCTTACTTCTACGTGTGTTATTTTTCTCTCAACTCACATTCCGCTCACGTTCCTGCCTTAATTTCATTACCCAGCAATGAGGTGTGAGTGGAGACTGTACTAATAGTTTTCAGCTTAGATGGCCTCTCCCAGCTCTCCAGGCAGGTAGCAGACTTTGAATTGCCCTTAAGGAAAAATACCACAGTGTTAAGTAATTTCACGTTTGCATCTGTGATAACCAAGCCTGTTGTCTTAGGAGTCCTGGTGGACTGAGACCTCTTGCTGAGTTCACGGTTCTCAGGCCCCTCCTTTCTTCCAGAACCATTCAGCTTCCAGTTCCTGCCCAAACTTTCTCCACTTTCCTAGCTGGTGGTGAGTTTTACCTTCCAGAGATCTCCGTGTCCACCCCCTTTCCTGTGGCTGTGAACAGATACCCCCAACAAATGCAGCTCAGAGAGGAGGGGGTGCTCACAGCTTGGGGGTCAGAAAGACCGTGAAAGTCGTGGACAGAAAGAGGGGCATTGTGATGAGTGGTTCTGTAGTGGGGGATATTTGACGTCTGCTTGTTCACATCTCAGTGGTCCAGGAAGCAGACAGGAAGTGGGCCCAGCTATAAACCTCAAGACTTGCTTCCAGTGTCCCACTTCCTCTACCTAGAGATACTGTCAGAGGACGGGGAGCACCAGCTGGGACCCAAATGACCTGTAAGGGAGGTTTCACCCTTGAGCCATGACATCAGAACACAGATTCATCATTTATTTCATTTCTTGGGTTAGTATCCTGGGATAAAATCTAAATCACGTGGGCCCGGGAGATGTGTGAGTGGGATAGGTACTTACTGAGGACGCGTGGAGTCTGGAGTTCAGACCCTCGGACCCTACAAAAAGTGAAGCAGGTATTATTCCTACCTGTAATTCCAACACTTGGGCCTTAGTAGGCATTCCAGCGTTTCAACTGTCCTCCTTTTCTAAACTGATGAACTCAGTTCAGTTAAAAACACTGCCTCAGAGCTGGAGCGATGGCTCAGTGGTTAAGAGCACCGGATGCTCTTTCAAAAGACCCGGGTTTCTGTTGGGTCCAGGGGGGTCGCACAGAGATGAGAACACCACCAAGTCTAATAAACCAGAAGCAAACTTTATTCCAAAAACCAGATCCTAGGAAAACCAGAAGCAAACTCAGAAATAAAAAATAAAAATAAAACACCGCGGGGCACAGAAGCTTATCAGCTAGCTGAGACCACAGCCAGAGATGGTGTTTGTTAGGCTGTGGGAAAAGGCCGGTTTCTGAACCCACTTTTTATAGTAGGGACACCAGGCATTAGCTCTGAACAAAAGAATTTTTACAACCTTGCCCTGACCCTTGGGTTGGTCAGCGGAGACCCTAAAGAAGGGAGTGAGTGCTAGTGTCAATGAGTAATTAGGCAGCCATCATGAAATATGTTTTAGGGGAGACTACAACGAAAGTCACTAATTGCGAGAAAACAGATATCTTTAGCAATTCGTCAGAAAAGGGGCTGCTTGTAACACTAGAAGGTTAATAAATTAGGATTAACTGGTTCTTGGGCTGAGAACTTAGAAGAAAAGCCTTTCACATTATTTTTAGGTAAATTTTCAGATACTGACTGCCATATTTTACAACCTCCATTATCAGAGCTCATTAATTAAACCTTTGTATTTATCCACTGTCTCCTGGTACCTCCGGGTGTAAACTGAGGTCATGCCTCTCCTCTGGTGGTGCCAGTTTCCCATAACAGAGATGGTGTCTAACCCAGAGGTCACATATCTCTGTCTCCTAAAGGTTAAACTCAGTTCACATCTACTATTTATTAAGGATGGTCAGGACACTGCTCTTAATTTGTAGAGAGACACTCTGGCCTTGTAAATAAAACAGCCAGTTGTAAAATGACCTACGCTTCCCAAGCATCTGAGAAAATAGCTCACTGTGAATGAATGCTCCTTGATCTGCTGAGAAAGCTGCTGATAGTCTGTTCTTATTCTCCTAGACTTATAACTTTATATTTCTTTATTTTTACATTTTTATTTTCTTATGCCTGGACTCTTCAGTTTCCTTCCTAGAGCCCACAGGGCAGCTCACAACTGTCTGTAACTCCAGTCCCAGGAGATCGGGAACCCTGGCACAGACATATGTGCAGACAAAACACCAATGCACATAAAAATAAATATATCTAAAAAAAGATAGTACTTAAGGTGATCAAGATGTTTAGGGACCTTGACCTTTGCATCAGGGACGATCACAGTGCCTTTACAACAGACAGATCTTACACCACGTGGCAGCTCATTGTCATTGCCTTTTTAATGAAATAAAGGCACTTTTCAGACAAAAATTTTAAAAGAATAGCATATATACTTTTTCCTTAGCTGAATTTCGAGTGTCAGATGAGATATCTGAAATGATTTCCCCATTGGGTTGTTTGCTGTGGAAATGTGGCTCGCTGATGGGAAACGCTATCACATTCCAAAGAAAGGAAAGCTCGGCAGCTCTGAAGAGAAAGAGGCTCTGCAGGAGATCGCCATCCTGTCTGACAGACAGAGCTGTGGGCTCTGAAAATCTCACTGAAAAATCTGAAGGATTCTTCTACCCTGAGGGCCATTGGTTTTAACTTCAAAGAGAGGAGACAGCTGTAAGGCGGAACTCAGGGCCCCTCCCTTCTCCAAGCCTACACATCTTACCTTAATGTCTGGAATTCTTTCAAGAAGAAACGTAGTTTCTGATACACGGTGCATGAACAGGAGGTCAGAACCCAAACCTGGCGTTCTTTGAAGCAGCCCTTTCCTGGTGGCCCCACTGTTAACAGCATCCTAGCCTTTCAAACACCCGAAAATATGGAAGCAATGTTCTTACACTTTGGTCAGCTTGCACACACATGTGACACCTTCACCTCCTCCAGAGCAGAGCTACCATCTGTCACACACATAGCCCTTGCTCATGCTAACTGTGGACCAAGGTCACGCTAAAAGAAATGACAACTGAATAAAATCTCCCATGTGCAGGCAAGATTCCAGAAGCTGCATGAAAGAACTCACATTAAATTTCTAGTTTGCCAAGAGCACAGCCTGTGGACTGTGAGGCACTGGGCAGCTAGGGTGTCCGTACAAGATTTGTCTTTCGAATATGTTTGGTTTATTCACACAGACA